CGCCGACACGTAAGAGTGACCTTTCGCCGGAGTGACCTTTGGTGCGCGACTTTTTGGCCCTCGGGGGGCCCCCTCGTCGCCACGGTCGGACGCGGCTCGAAAAACGGGTCAGATTGGACCCCGGGAGGGGTCCGGGGGTCGACTTTGAGCGGATTTGCGCGCACCAAAGGTCACTCTTGCCAAAGGTCACTCTTACGTCCCCCCGAATAGGATCCAGAAGACACTCAGCAATGACGGGCCCACGGAAACGGCGCTGAAGATTGCTGCGCGGGAAGAAGTTAACGTTCATACGCCGTACGGCTCATTGATAGAAGAGATGTCCTTGCCAACAGATAGTGGTGACTTTACTTGGCGGTGTTGCAACCCACTTGCTTGGCTCTATTTCATCTGCGATCGGTACCCGTGGTTTTCCGAGCTGGTAAAGGCGAGTGCGCGAGGCGACAGATACACCATAGCCCTGTATACGGACGAAACGACCCCAGGTAACCCTTTGCATCCTGGGACGCCCACAGAAACTCAATGCATTTATTGGCAGGTGCTCGAATTGCCTAGTTGGGTTCGTACGAAAGAGACTGGGTGGAATTGTTTTGGCGTTTTGAAGACCTCCGACCAAATGAAAATCAAAGGTAGTCTATCGGGGATCATGCGCCACGTGTTGAAGCGAATGTTTCGGAATGACCACCATTGCTTCGAGAACGGAATGCTGCTGCCATGCCCGTCTGGGCGTTTCTTGTTTCGTGCCAAGCTAGCTTTTCTGGTGAAAGATGCTAAAGCTCACAAGCTTGTGTTTTCTAGCAAAGGGGCAGGAGGTTTCAACTGCTGTTGTCACTGTGCCAACATCATCAAAACAACAGGCACCACGCGCATCCCACCACACTCGCACGTGAAACACAAAAGATACGCGTTCCCTTCCGAATTTGTGAAACAAACGCCACACAATTTTTTCTTGCAGTTTGATGTGGTGCAGAGTCTTGCGAAAGATGTGTCAAAAACACAACTGGGAGACCTCCAGAAGGCTTATGGGATAAATTTCGACCCGCAGTCCCTGCCCGCCGACCATGCTCTCCGCGATGTTGCAAATCCAGTGCAGCATTTGTATTGGGACTGGATGCGTTGTGGGATAGCAGCAGGAGGGGTTTCTCAATACATGATCAATAGTTGTTGTTTGTATTTGAAGGCAGAGGGTGTCGACGCGCGCACGTTGGATGCATTTGCTATGGGCATCACATGGCCCCCGGGCCATACGAGACTTCCGCGCTCTTTCTTCCAGGACAGGACTTCGGATGATTGGAACAAGCCGATCAAAGCTTTTTCAGGCGAGACTTTGGCAGTTCTGCAGGCCCTGGAGTTGTACGTGGAGACAATACTGAGTCCTTCGGGGTCCCTTCCAGATCTCGGTCGCTGCGCGCTCGTCCACTGCAGAGTTATAAGGATCCTTAATTCGGGGCAGTTGGCGGTTCATCGCCTTGCAGAGCTGCGTGCGTTGTGGGGGGAATACCACCGGCTCCACCTTCAGTTGTTCGCCCACGACACCGCGAAGCCAAAGCTTCACTATATGTACCACGTGTTCGATTGCATCGAGAAGTTCGGTGTGCAGATAAATTGCATGGGCGCCGAACGCAAGCACAAATTGGTTAAAACCATTGCAAGGATGTGCCAGGGAGAAGCTTTTGATTTGAAGGTGCTTCATCGGTATTTGGCTGCACAACTTGCCCTTTATGACGCCGGCCCCTTCCAGGAATATTCTTCACCCACGGCCATGAGGGAATGCGACGACGCACTCTTAAGGGATGCTGTGTCCACCGTGTGCGGACACAGGGTGAACGACGTTTCAGTTTCAAAACACTTGACAACGCCGAGAGGTGATGTTGTGGCAGGGGTTGTCTGCTACTTCCGGTACGGCGCGCGCGTTTTTCTTGGCGAGGTGTTATTTTCGGCCAGAACGTTTTTGCTCTCTAGAGGCGTTCAGTGGTTTATCTGCGCGCGCCCGCATTCGTACCAGGGGCCGCAGCTGCGGGCACGAGGTGTGGATCAGTGTGTAATCTTTCCAGCGGGGGATTTGCTGTCAATGCCTCCGCACCTCGTTTTTGAAGACAGCATCCGCCCGCTGTCCTTGCTTGAAGGGCTCGCTGAGCTTCATTGAACAGAGTTTTGCTTGGAAAAACGAGCCCTCCTCCCCTGCAGCTCTGGGCTCGCCCGTGCTGTCCCCCCTCACCTCCTCCTGCCCCTCGGCTCTACCCCCTCTCCCCCCCTCCCCCCCCCCTCCTCCTGCCCCTCGGCTCTGGGCTCGCCCGTGCCGACCCCCTCTTCTCCTCCCCGGCCCTCCGTCGCCTCCCCGATTTCGGCTTCAGGGGTCAGTTTTCGGGCCCCGGGGCCGTCGCAAAAGAACCCATGATGACAAGTACTCTATCGGAGTTCCCCACATAAAGATGTTGTAGGCTGGGTGGGAGTACCGGGACACAACAGTAGTTAGACACTGAAGCATTGCGATGCCCTCCTC